AGACCCTCCTACGAAAACGAAGACACATTACTAAAACAAGTTCAAAAGAGGTTAGTATTACCTTTGTGGACAAAGATTATGTTCATGAGACACACTACGAAAACGAAGATCCTTACGGAAATCTTGAATTCTGAATTTGGCACGTCTGTAATTTATTACGGAATATTTCAACAGTAGAGCCCCATGGAGCCTTCAATGGGACTACTTTAAAGCTAAAATTAGATTTAATAGAAGAGACATGACATGCATATGATGGTATATAATGAAGCAACAATATAAGTTTATTAATGAAAACAACATCAACTAGCGGTAATGACACTTCCAGCGAGGAAAAATATACTGTTGTTGGAATAAAACATGGCAATTCGACCGATTGATTTCAACAAAACTTTTCCTGCGGGTAAAAAATTACAAATCAATACCTTCAAGGGTAACTGACGCCAAATTTTGTCCTTTTTTTTTTTGTCCCAGTACATTCCTCTTAGGTTAAAAAATCCAAAACGAGCACATTAATGATATACGGTGCAAAATCAAATTTTCTACAAAATTTTTTTTGACGCTTAATCGACGGCCATTTTGAAAACGGCTCGATTCAGGTCACGTGATGGGATACGTCACACGTGTGTAAAGCAGTGAAAAGTTGAAAGTAACAAATTCGTCCCGGCTGTTCAGCTGCTGCAGAAAAAAAATAAGATTTGTTCGATTCTGATATAGGTCACCATTTAGAGACTACGAAATACGAGGTGAGAAATAAATTAACGAAGGTTGAATAATCGAAACGCGACGAATCGAATGTCTGTATTCAGAGCCACGGATAATTTGCACGCTATTTCAGACAGCTGTAAAAATATATATTTTCCCACAATTTTTCCTCTTAACCATTATCGAGGCCTATACTTAAAGAAATGTTTTTTAATTCCAGGCCGAAACAGTATTTGTCTTTAGATTTTGTCCGCTACGAGAATCCGGCGCTCTACGACGTGGGCTGTATACTGTATACCTGAGATCACAGTATATGTATACTGTGATCTCAGGCCCATCGGTTCAGAAGTGAGCGTGACTAAACGCAAAGTATTGTCACGTATTATGGGAGGTCGTCATCTGGTTTCGTGAACGAAACTCTTCTTCTACGGTCCGGAAATGGTAACTTTTTGTTTATTTCTTTCGATGCTTTTCGCCTCTAGCTGAGAGTTTTTCAGGAATGATTACAACTAACATTGAGCAGCATATATAGCACATTCGTCTGCTTAAGTTTAATTAACTTCCAATGGAAGTGTATAATAACAGAAACATCCTGTAAACGGATGTTACAAGAATCGCCTTGTTATGAGCGCCACACTCAAGCGTTGTTTCTCATTTGCGACCGGAAACATGATGAAATCAATCCTGTCCGAAAGGTTACTCGTTTCAAAAATATACCAGTGTCAGCTGGGTGAACGGTAGATTACTCACGCTCGTTTATCATAAATAAAACAAGCCGGCAGCCTGAGAGAGAAAACCATTAAAGCACAAGTCATGGGACTACCTTGTACCCTCCGTTTAAAACGCATTGCTTTGGTAAAAAAAAAAAGAGGAACCGAGTCCGCGACAAACTCGTGCTACGGAAATAACAAGCGCGTAATATTTCTTAAATTATGACCAGAACTTAAAAGAAAAAAAAAAAAAAAAAAAAAAAAAAAAAAAAATTATATATATATATATATATATATATATACATAAGTTATAAAAGTCTCAGAGAATCGTTGCGTCCTCTTTAATTCTTTAACTTATATATACTTAGCTCTCCTACCACAGCATTGAGCACTTTATGCCAAGGTAGACTCTACCCCCACATTCATATATCTATATAAATATATTCACGCTCAAGTTATCCAAAACTGTACTACTCTACGCCGCGTTGACATTTAAAATAAGGACGGAAAACAACAGGATCTAAAACAAAGAAAACGAAAACCAGGGAGGCGCTGTGTAGTGATGTTTTGTAACAAATAGACGGAGTCAGCCTTCACCAGTTTCCTCAAACCCTGGATGCTGGACAATATATTTGGCTTCTGCTTGCAACTGTCCACTGTAACATCCCCCAAATTTTTATTTTTGACCACATCCACTTCTTGGTAAAAGATGTTTTCTTCCTCCTTCCACATTGATTGACAGTTTCCATACTGACACCTTGTAATGAAAAAAAAAATCAGTAAAGTAGCAATTTTTTCACGATGTTGAATAGAAGAAATAAAGAGAACAACTTGTATGATTGCTTTCATCAAAAGGAACAGTTATCAGCTTTATAACTGTCACAAACGTGAGAGATAATTCAAACTTTAGGCTACTTTACTTTATTTACAATTCTACATGTACGAATGCTGTTTTTTGCTGCATCGTGTTTTAAAGTAAAAGCCCAGAAATCTTGAATCGTTCGTCAAATTCAACACAGGAAAAATTAAACTCGATTCAATCGCATGTGAACGTGTGTAATCCATCCAATTCACCCCCACAAGCGAGTATGTTAATATTAATAGTTAGCGAAACCTAATAGCTTCGGAAGATGCGTGCGTGTAGCATAAAAACACTTCGCTCCCATGGTATTCAAGAGTCTGCACATTTGGTTTTCTTTACTTGATCGCTCCTACATTTAATAAGCGACTTATTTTCAGATACTTTATTTATAATCGTAAATGCACTCAC